ATATATATATATATATATATATATATATATATATATGTATATATATATATATATATATATATATATATGTTTATATGTTTATATATAATTGGGGTTTGTTCATAATTAGGGTTTATAATGAGGGTTTAGGGTTTATAATGAGTGTTTAGGGTTTAGAGTTTAGGGTTTATGAGGGTTTATGAGGGTTTAGGGTTTATGAGGGCCTAGGGTTTAGGGTTCACGGCATGTCTGCGCTGGCGGCATTGAGTATGATGGAGTCATGGGGGCTTATAATTCGTGTTTCTAATTAGGGTTTAGGGTTTATGAGGGTTTATACGGGTTTATGAGGTAATTAGGGTTTAGGGTTTATGAGGGTTTATGAGGGTTTAGGGTTTACGGCATGTCTGCGCTGGCAGCATTAAGTATGATGGAGTCATGGAGGCTTATAATTAGTGTTTCTAATTAGGGTTTAGGGTGTATGAGGGTTTATAAGGGTTTATAAGGGTTTATGAGGGTTTAGGGTTTATGATGGTTTAGGGTTTACGGCATGTCTGCGCTGGCAGCATTAAGTATGATGGAGTCATGGGGGCTTATAATTAGTGTCTATAATTAGGGTTTATTGTGTGTGAGGGTTTATAAGGGTTTATGAGGGTTTAGGGTTTATAATTAGGGTTTAGGGTTTATGAGGGTTTATGAGGGTTTAGGGTTTACGGCATGTCTGCGCTGGCAGCATTAAGTATGATGGAGTCATGTGGGCTGAAATCTTCTTGGGGGAAGTATGGGGCCCCTGCTGCTGCTGCTGCTGCGTCTCTGTCTCCTTCTTCTGAGGAGATGAGGTGTACTATCTGTTGCGGGATGCTGCGTATATCTATGGCTGATCCTTCTATAGACATTTCAATCAGCAGCTGTATATCTCGGTCTTGCTGCTGCTGCTGCAGCTGCTCCTGCTGCTGTTGTTGCTGCTGTTGCTGTTGCTGCTGCTGCTGCTTTGTTTGCTGCTGCTGGTGATGGTGATGGTTTTGTTGCTGCTGTTTTTCTTGAGCGTGGTGGGGTTGTAAACGCATGTTTGGGGCTTGGATTGACCCTCTGCATGCGTTTATATTTATATTATCATAACATAAACGCAGCGGCAACAGAGAAGTAGGAGAAGAGGAGACAGAAATACAAGAAGATAAATTTTTACTCGCGCCAGAGGAGACACCTGAGGTGTCTCCGCAGCTCTTATCTATAGATATATGTGTACATCTATTTCCTTCTCCGTTGCTGCTGCTGCTGCTGCTGCTGCTGCTGCTGCTGCTGCAGTGATCCGAGGAGCAGATAGACAAAGTTTCTTCGCCGCATCCGTTTGATGCTGCTGCTGCTGCTGCTGCTGCTGCCGCTGCAGCAGCAGCAGCAGCAGCAGCAGGGGCAGCAGCAGCAGGGTTCACACCAAGCCCTGGGGGCCCCATACAACCTGGGGGGCCCCCACTGCTGTTCTGGGGTACCACCATCAAGACAGAGATGATGGTGTTGTGTTCTTTGTATAACAACCACGGCTCAGCCAGCAGCAAACGAATCACTCGCTGTGCTGCTAGCTCGTTCTGCATGCATGCATGCATGCATGCATGCGTAGAAACACACACGC